ATCTTCTTCCTGGGCTCTGACTCTTCTTTCTCTTACAAGGCCCCCTGTGATTTCATTAGGCCCACTTGGATAATCCAGGACAAATTCTTCACTGCAAGATCCTGAGCTTAATTATATCTGCAAAGTCTCTTTTGTCACGTAAGGTAAGATATTCACAGGTTTTGGAGACTAGGATATGAACATCTTGGGAGGGAGCTATTCTGTTTATCACAAATGTGAATATTCACACATTTTGATATCTGTTTCTGTGTTTTATGGGCTGGGTATATAATATATGGTATATTGTCTTATAATATATGGTGTTTTATGCTGTATTGTCTTCTAAATGGAAAATATGTGATTTCAGAAACACATCTGGCCCCAGAAGTTTCAGATAAGGATTGTGAAGCTGTAATATAGATAGTCCTCACTTCACATGGTTCCGTTGTAATTGAGATCAAATCTCAGCCTGGGTCCTCCTAATTGGATCCCCGTGAAGTTTAAATGAGATAAAACAATATATAAAATGTCCAGTGCAGTGTTAGACACACAGTGAATGTGCCTGCCTTGCTGCTGGCAGCTGGTCACCTTACAACCCCACCTGCCCTGCTCAAATGTCTGTACCCATCAGGTCTCTACAAAGCAGGCTCCCATAATCCCTGGGAAGTGTCTAAACCTCCCCTTAGGGCACTGCTGGGGTATGCTCACACAGAGCCCAGAAGTGCATGGGGAAGCCAAGGAAGACATTAGAAAGTCATGTTTGGGGACCCTCTGGTGGGGAACCTGTGGCCTCAAGGCCACGCGTGCCCCTCCAAATCCCCAAGAGCGGCCCCTTGACCAAATCCAAACTTTACAAACCAAATCCCTTTATTAAAAGAATTTGTTCTGAAAAAGCTGGATTCGGTTAAAAGGCCACACTCAAGGATCCAGAAGACTACATGTGGCCCCAAGGCCCCAGGTTCCCCACCCTGGCAAGACAGGGCCCATAGATACTCACCTGGAAGAACTATGTGTATTTTATGTTATAATTTCAGGTATTTGTACTGAAAAATGATATCCTAAACCTAAAGATTACTGAATCAATCCGTATTGCAAGCCTTAGAAATGTACCTAGCTTTTAACCTAGTAGTTAAGTATTTAGAAAATAATGAGAAACAGGTAAAAATCTACAAATTTACAAACAAAAAAGAAAAGTTGTTAGAGAAAGGAAGGAAAAACTGGACCAATTAATCTTAAGACTTTTTTCAAGGCTTATGAAAAACCAGCACTGTTTCACCTGGACATTTAATTATTTCAATATTCCTCTCTGCAGTGGGGCAAGAAGAAGCAGGGCAGCAAAACCATCACTTCTTTGGCATCACAGTCTTGTAGTAACAATGCTGTCAACAGCTTTCATCACAACAGGAAGTCAAGGTTGCCTTAGGGAAACTGATGACAGATTCTAGAAAAGGCGAATGATAGGTGAGCTGATAGTGCATGTTGTTTAGTCTGCAGCCACTGTGGTTAACAGAAAACCTTCAGATTAGCTCTTGAAGTGAGGGAATGAAGGAAGGGAGATCATTTGGTTGCAATTTCAGTTAGAAAATTGGACAAGAGGTTCAGTTTTTCAAAAGGCACAGTCCCATGAAGCAAATCTGCATTCTGCATGGCCAGGTTTGAAATCATATGCCTCTGCCCCTCCAGCTAGTCATCCTGGAGACATGCGCTACAGGTCAAATCTCCGTAGAAAAGCTTATTCTGGCAATGAGGAAATTGAGCTCACTCTTGATGTCAGATTATATGAATAATTAATAAATGTTTAGAGTTTTACAGGTAGGAAATGCTGTCCTGAGAAGCCCATCAATAGGTTTATTAGTTTATCAGCAACCTGTTTCATTGAATTACCTGGATTACATAGCTGTTCAGACCTGGGATTTAAATCCTCTTCATCGGATGCTAAATCCTATGTTTTTCTTAACACATCATGGTGCCACATATTTAAGAGTACAACGCAGAATTCTGAATCTCTGTCCTGTAGGATAGTGCTTCCCAAACCTGGCTACTTAAATCTCCTGAGAAGTGTGTGAAATACAGATTCCTAGGCCTCCGCCCTAGAAACTCTGACCCAGAGAGGTGTTTGTGAATTTGTATTTTTAAATGGTGCCTGGAGAATCTAATATACAGCCAGGTTTGGGGGCCGCTGTTTTGTTAAAGACCAATGCTACAAGTCTACCTGATATCACATTTAGAGTTTCATTTATAAAGATGGAAATCAGTAAAACTACCTTACCTTTTAAGAATCTGTTGAAATCTATGGATCTTTCCCTAAGAAACACATAGACACACAAATTCACACTTTTACATACAATTTTAGGGGGGTTGTATTAGTTGTCTCTTGTCAACTTAAAAATCGTGAGATCCATAAATTTGTAGAGGAGAGCTTTATTTCTTAGAAAAAGGTTGCAGCCTGCAAGCTGGGTAGGCTCTGTCAGAGACCAAAGGCAGGAACTTCAGAGACAAAAGGGAAGGGGCGAGCTTTTTGCTGAACGGGGATGCCTAAGTATACGTACTCAACAGGATATAGGGCAGCCTCATGTGTCATAAGCAAACATGCATGTTACATGCGACCCATGTTCACTTTGGGGTGGAGGCTTAACATTTAAATGTATTATAATTAGGCCGTATATGTCAAAAGGTGAAGCAGGGACATGAAGACACCCAGTGCACAGCCAGAACTAGTCCATGGTCGGTGGTGGTCTCTTATTGGGAGACAGTTACTAAAATCAGTCTCTTGTCCAGTCAAAGTTGTAGTTATGACTTCTGGGAGGGGGGTTCAGTTAGTCAACGTGTGGTAGTCAGTGAGCTGCAACAGTTTCAATATTGCTTATTGCCAGGCCCCTGCTTGTTTAGCTGATAGAGAAAAAGAAAAACCTTGTGGTAGTTAGAACATAGTTTATTCTCTTAAGTATAGAGATTCGTGATTTAACTCTTGCCTGGCATGGCTTTCAGTTTTGTTTATAATTTGGTATCTTATTGCCACAAAGTGTCAGTTCCATTTGTCTCAACATCTCTATTTTAACACTGTTGCTGCTAGCACAAATTGTTACAAATATAGTGGCTTATAATAACAAAATTTATTATTTTACAGTTTTGGAGGTCAGAAATTAGACAAGAAACTCACTGGTATAAACTCAAGTTGTCGCCTTTCTGGAGGCTCTAGGGCATAATCCATTTTATTGCCTCTTCTGTCTTCTAAAAGCTGCCTGTATTCTTTGGCTCGTGGGTCCCTTCCCCCATCTTCAAAGCCAGCAGCGTAGCATCTCCCTGACCCTGCTTCCGCTGTCACGTCTCTTCCTCTGAATTCAGGCAGAGTCTTATTTATTTTTAAAGCTAGGCACATTAAGGCTTCAACAATTCTGGGCTTTGTTAGTAAGGAAATTGGGAAGTATAAATATCGGGAAGACACCAGTGATCTCTACTACATATGGAAACTTGGGTTTTGTGTCCTAAAATGAGACTAGATCATTTTTCACTTTCACACAACCAAAACACAGAAAAAGTTAAGTCTCCTTCCGAATCTCCCCCCAAATGCCTCCTCCTCTTACTAAGCTTGATTTTCTTCGAAAAGTTCATTCTTTCAGCAGTGTTTAAGTACGTACCTGTGCCTGGCACTGAGCTGGGGCCTTGGGGATACAAAACTAACTAAGATGCTCGTCTCTCCCTAGAGAGTCTTACTATCTATGGGGAGGGACGTCGAGCCAGAAAACAATGAAAATATCCTAAGTGTTGAGTTAGAGGCATGTGAACCTTCTGCGGCAGCTCAGAAGAGAAAGGGGCAGAGGCAATGGCAGAGGAAGGGTGAGGTGAGAACTACGTGGATGGGATTTTTCCAGTTGCAGAAGGATGCTGACATTCCTGGAAGAAAAGGCGGTGGAGAAGGCACAGATGTGTGTGAGAGCCCCTGCCGGACATGTGTGGGGAACAGCTAGCAATTGTGTGTGGATACATTGCAGAGTCTGTGGGAAGTTAAGCCTGAGTGGGGCATAAGATAGGGCTGGAAGCTGAGACGGAGCCTCCATGGAGTCACGCTGAGGAGCTCTGGCTCCAACCTGTGGAGCACAGGGGGAACAGGAGGCTTTGACCATTTCCAAACTGTTGTAGAACAAAACAGTGGAAACAAAAGAGAACAGGCAGGGAAACCAAAATAGTGTGGTCAAATTCACAACGATGAGTCAATTCGGTAGGAATCTTAAATTTGAGTAGTCAAATTCTTGGAGACAGAAGGTAGAAAGGTGGTTGCTTGGGGCTCGGGAAGGGGGCTGAAGAGGAAGGGAAGAATGGGGAGTTTCTGTTTAATGGGTACAAAGCTTATTTTGTAAGATGAAAAGAGGTCTGGAGAGAGATGGTGGTGATGTTGCACAACAATATCCATATACTTAATACCCGCGAACTGTACAGGTAAACTGATTAAGACGGTAACTTTATGTTACACACACACAGAGCTGGACCCCAACCCACAGAGCTTCGGATTCAGCAGGTCTGGAGCGGGACCCGAGGATTTGCTTTCCTGACGAGTTCCCAGGTGAGGTTGCTGCTGCTGGCCCGGAGGCCGCACTCAGGGAATCACTCCTGTAGGAGACCAGTGAGTGGAGTAGGGAGGGGCGCTCTGCTCGCTTCCACGTGGCTATTATTGTTATTAACAACACCAGCAGCTGACGTTTATTGAGCACTTGTACCTTACAGCTTCACAGCTGGGTGAGGGAGCAGCGGGCGGCTGGGATAGAATCGCAACTCGTCCCTCGCCGGTTGCTTTGGTCCTTGATGGAGTGAGACTGAGGGGGAAAGAGAGACACAGGCAGAGGGAATGACCAAAGCACACAGCGGCGGAGGGGGTCGGGACCCGAGCGCCCGGGGCACGGCGGGGAGGAGCGGCAGCCCGGGGCTCGCTCGCGGCCCGCAGGGGGCGCTGCCGCGCCGTCCAGTCGCCGGCCGCCCGGGCCGCCCACCCCGCGGGCGCGCCTCTTCGCAGTCCAGCGCCGCCCGGCCCGGGACCGCTCGCGCAGACTTCTCGGCCGGGCTGAAGACGCCGGCCGCTCGGGGCCGCCCCTGTGCTTGCCTCCGGCAGCCGCTCAGCCCACCGCCCCCGCCCCGGTGCCGGGCTCGCGGCATCCAGCCCGCGTCCGAGCGCAGAGCTCCCGCCCCGGGGAGCTTCCCGGCCGTCGGCGGACCCCGCGGCCCGTGCGCTCGGCGCCCTGCTCGCGGGGCAGAGGGGAGGGAGGCGACTGGCTGGGGATGGGCGAGCCGGCTGCGCTGAGGGGCGCCGGGGGGTTCGGTGCGCTCCTCCTGGCGCTGGTGGCCGCGGGGATCCCCGCGGGCGCCTACAACCTCGACCCGCAGCGTCCCGTGCGCTTCCAGGGCCCCGCCGGCTCCTTCTTCGGCTACGCGGTGCTGGAGCATTTCCACGACAACACGCGCTGGTGAGTTGTCGGCTCCCCGACCCCGGCCCGGCCACCGCCCCGGCTCCGGGGCCAGCCGCCGCCGCCGCCTTTCCGGCCTCTTCCACGCCGCCGTCCCGAGGGGGCGATTTAAATGTCTCCGCGGCGCGCGGCTCGGCCGCCCGGGGAAGGCGGGAGGAGGGAGGACGCCCGTCCCGGGCCGCACTGAGGTCCCGCTCGGCGCCCGGAGGCGGAGGGGGCCGAGCCGGGAGCGTGCGGGGAGAACCGCAAGAGTTGCCTCCTCGGCCTCCCAGCCAGCCTGTAACTCTCTCGATCGCAAAGTAACTTGGCTCGTCTGCGTCGGAGAGGCTGCCGAAGGCTGGGCGACCATCCTGAACCTCTCAGGGCCTTGGGGAGACAGGGCACTGGGGATGCATCCCCTACTCCCAGTTCTGGGGAACTCTTGGGGACGGTTTCAAGCCTCGCCAGCGCCGCTACGCAGGAGAGAGGCAGTCCCCAGGGGCAGGATGTCTGGGACGCCCAGGAGTGCATTGAGCGCAGAGGCCCCCTCTGACCCCGCAAGACCTTGGGCGGAAGCGGTGCAGAGAGGCTCTGGGCTGTAGGAAAGGAGGGGAGGGGAGGACCCCGAGTGACAAGGCTGGTGTAGCTGGTGGTGGGTGTTTCTAGCGGCAGCCTGAGGCTTATCTTGCGTGCACCATCCGACCTGGAGGCAAGCATCGGGAGCCTTAGGAGGGGGACGCAGTTCTGTAGAGGTCAAGGAGTCCGTTTGCCCCCGAGTTCCGAGGTGTGGGCCTGAAGAAAGAGTGGCGTCTCTCCCCCATCAAGCACCATTAGCTAAGTGGTACAAAGTTTGAGTGCCCAACCCCAGAGGAGAAGCGCTTAGGGGAGGTTGGTGCCCTCCTTGGCCACTTCCCCTGGACCAGAGGGAATAAAACAGCCACACAGTGGCCACTTCTTCATAGGAGAGAATTAGGCTGTGGGTAGTTCCCCTGTTCAAGGTCATGCCTCGGTGGGGGCCCAAGTTGACAGCTAGTTCGGGTCGATTTTATTTGGTAGTCACCATTGTGAGCACCCTTAGGGGAGGCAGGCTGGGAGGTCGAGGTCAGTGATGCCTGTGTGCTGAGCACGTAGTCGTGTGGGAGAGTCACTGCCCTGCATTTAACGGTGCCTGATGGAAGAGGGTGGTTTGTGGATCCGAGTACTCAAGTATTCCTGGAAAAGGGAACTCCACGACCTGCCGGCCTATTAACAATCATGCTTTTGGGAGAGCTGCTTCCAAGAGAAGCAGTTTTCAAGTCTTTGTGTGTCTCCTTTTCAGTTCCACATACTCTTGAACAGTCACTCCAGTTGCTGAGTTCAAGACCAGACTGTCTCTTCTTGTACTTGTCAACTCCGCCTCTTAAAGCAGGCTGAACACCTTTTCTATGCCCTCCAGACTCACGGTCCACCATGGGCTCTGGATTTGGTACAGAACAGCCTGAGCAGAGGCAGCTGGAGAATGCGTTCCAGAATCCCACACTGGGCTCCCAGACCGTGTGACCTTGGCACCAAGCATGTGGGAAGAGATGTCAAAAATAGACGGGCTGTTCTGGGTAGGGGGCTGCTGAGGAAGGGCAGGCAGCTGAGTGAGCGGAGCATTGTGTGCTGTCTGCAGGCTGAGGCTGGCCAGTGTATCCTGGAGCTCTTTGATGGCTAGAGGGAATGGTGCCAGGCCCATGTCACCTAGATTTGGATGGGCCACAGGTCCAAGCCGCCCCAGCTGGGAAACAACTAGGTAGAGTCAAGAGCAGATATGACAGGAAAGGTATTCAACCTGCTTTGTTTTAAAAAGGGGATGAAGAAAAGCTGTGTGATGTGAATAAATCTGGGAAGTGTATGAAAAGACGGGCTGGTCTTAAACTTGGCACCCAGGGTAAATGGTAGGAAGGGGGCGTGGAACTGGACGGTAATGGCCGACACATGGCTTTGTTGCCAGTAGAGGTTTGGGACAGGTATTTCAGGGGTCCATGGGGATCTCAATAGTGCCCTCACTTGTTCTGATGCAAGTCGGCTGCTCTTTGTGTTGGAGTTCTTGTCCCTGTAGTTTTTCAGGTACCAACTAAAATCTACTGAAATCTTTTTAAAGCAAATCTTCTTCCCCCCTGCAACATTGCCTTAATGTTTTTGGTAGTTTTTGCCTCTCTTCTTGATTTCTATCCTCTTGCTGCTTTTTAAAAAGTATTTTCCTTCCCATCCTTATTCTCTTGTCCTACTCCTCCCTCCCACCTCCCCGAATACTCTTTGTCTTAGACCTCGAATGTATTCTCTGCTGATTGTGCTGCCCAGTCTTGGTAAGCTGCGACCTTTGAAGCAAGAGACTTCCAACGTCACCTCCTTTCTCCTCTTTTCCTTTCTCTAGAGGCCAGAGTTACTGTGAGGCTGATGAAACTTAAGCCAAAGTCTCCTCACTTGCATAGGCCCCTACCAAGGCTCCGTGCCTAATTTTATCCTCATAATTTTGTATTAATTTTCTTAAAGGTGGTAGCCCTAAATTTATAAGATTTAGGTTTTGGGAAATCTGGATCTACCCTAGGTCTCTACCTTAACTGTCAACTCTGGGGTTGGTTGGTTGACTTAGTGACTGATTGTAGGTCTCTTCCTACTAGGCAGTACCTGCGCCCTGAATCTTTTAGCTGTGCTTGAGGGACATGTAGGTGGTTACCAATTATTCACAATTATAAACAACAGCAGGGGTAAACAGCCTTGTGATGAAATCCTTGTGCACATCCTTATTTCCTTTGAATAAATTCCTGGGCTTAGAATTGCTGGGTCAGAGAGGATGGAGGTTTTTTAGGCATTTTCTGTGTATTACCGAAGTGCCAGTGAAGTGTGTGCTTTAGAGAAATGCATTAATTTATTAGGTACTGGAGTCAGGAAGTAGTTTTACAAAGGGCTGCTCTAATGCAATGAAAGAGCATAGAACCTCCATGGGGTGACTTAAAAAGATCACAAATACTAATCAAAATGGGTAAGGAAGGTAGGGGATATAGACATGAACAGGAAAAGTAGTATATTGAAACTTTGAGAGGAAAAAAAGACAGATGTCAATTAAGCCTTGTATCTTGTGTCTTTCTTCTTGATGACATTATTCTTTAGCTTCTTACTTGGTTAAGTATTTTGTGATTTAAGATGTTTGCTTCATGCTAATTAACCACCTGCTTTATAGGTGAAAGGATGTAATACATATAGGGTAAGGGAGAGAAGAATGTGCTGGAAATGGCAGAGGGAGAGCCCAGACACCAAGGTCAGTGTGGACTCTGGAGGTAGCAGAGCTGAGGGTTCCCCCAGGTGCACATCACAAAGCCTGTGTATGTGCTCTGTTGGTAGAACTAGCACTTCTCTATTCTCATAATGGAGCATTTCTGTCAATTCTTTTGTAAACCAAAATTTTCACAGATCAGAGGGTCCTAGATCTCTGTGTAAGGGATGGGGCCATCTTGCTTTTCTGAGCCCTGGTGACTGAGTCCAGCTCTGTAGCCATATCACACTGAGAGTAGAGCCCCAGACCCAGCTTCCCTCAAAGTGCTTGCTTGAATGGTCCCTCTGTCACCATGCTCTGGGCAGTGAGAATTGTCCCCAGGGCTAGGTGGACCAGGATGTCCTGGACAGTGTTTCAGATGACATTTGCATCAGTTTGGATGCAGACATTCAAGTGACTCAATTTTTTTTTCTAATAACACCCAGAGAATGTCTGGTTCCCCTCCTATACCTCCCAGCCCCCAAGTCTTCTGGCATCTTTTGAACAACGGCAGTAGGTGCCAGGGAACATGGACAAAGCTGATTTCTGTCCCCTTCACTTAGACATGGACCAGTTCCTCAGCTGCAAGGCTGACAACCGTAACACCCTGTGATATAAATAAATGTGGCCCGGCTGACGTCCAGCCCCCAGAGTGGGCGTCTTCCACACCCCTCCCCTTCCCTCCTCCTCCTCTGCCCCAGACGCCCTGGAGTCCGAAGTGGTTGGGTGCACCGGCTTCCTTTCTGGCGACGTGCTTCCTGCCGCCTCTCCTGGGACGCATCAAGACGGCTGTGCTTAGGCACAGAGCAAGTGCTCGGAAATGGAAGACTCATTTGGCTTTTTACTTTGTTAGAGGTTGTCAGAGCATCATTTAGTGAGGAAAAGGAGGCAATTCAAAGCCACAGAGAGCATAACATCCTCAGTTTGCTTTAAGGTTGAGAATTAAAAGAACAAGCTAGACAGTTCTGGTGAGCTGCCCAGTGCAGTCGCCACTGGCCAGATGTATCGCTATTTAAATTGAAATTAACTAAAACTAAATATAATTAAGAATTCATCGGGCAGGCATAGGTTGTTTAGAGGGGCAGAGGAGAGACTCCTGTGAAGGGAAGAGGTTTAGAAGGGGAGCTCTGGGATGATGGACTCTGCTGCCCCCAACCCTGCAATCTTGGTGAGGAAACACTCAGAAGTGGTGGTGACAGCCCTGCCTTCTCATACCCTCCATGGTGGACATCTTTGCTGAGTTCCCCTGCCCCATGCCAGGCTCTTAGGGGAAGATGTAGCTCCACTCCCTCATTTGGATTTTCTGGAAATGGCATTTTTAGACCTTGTTCCTGATCCTCACTCGCCCTACAGAGCCTGCTTTCCCAAGCTTTCAGGAAGGGACAACACATATATGAGGCCCAAGTTCTAAGGGGACCCAGAAAGCATCTTTGTAGGGTTTCTGGGGAGTTTCCCTGAAGATCTTGAGAAGCTGGCAGGGTGCTGTTTCCTGAGCTAGTGCTGAATGCTGGCTGGGGGCAGAGGCAGCTGTCTTGCCCAGGGGAGAGCCTTCCAGGGCAGCAAGACAGGCTGGTCTCAGCCAGTCATTAACAGCCCTGAGTGTGAGAGTGTGAAGGGCCAGGCCCCAGCCAGCTCTGATTCCCCGGTGACACGCTGCTGTTCAGGAAATGGTCTCCTTCTGATAACTTCTATTGTGGTTTGTCCAGGGAAAATGTTGTTTTCACATGTATTAAAAGCAGCCATG